GGGGGGGGGGTAGCGAACCATCCTGGATCTAAAATTTCTCAACCAATTTGTAAAATACAGGCTATTTAAAATGCAGACTCTACATTCTATTTTAGAGAGCGTTCGGGAGGGTGATCTCCTCTCTTCCACTGATCTCATGGAGGCTTACCTCCACATCCCAATTTGGCCTCATCATCGCCAGTTTTTCTGTTTCTGTTATCAGAATACCCATTACCGGTATCGGGCACTTCCCTTCGGCCTCTCATCGGCTTCAAGGGTCTTCACGAAGGTTCCGGCAGCATTGATGGCGTCTCTGCGTTCTGTTCCAGTGAGGATCCAATGCTACTTGGACAACATTTTGATTCTGTCCTCCTTCATCCATGCAGCCTATCGGGATCTGCAAATTACCCAGTCATATCTCCAGAGCCATGGATTTTTCCACTCCTGTCCACTCTAATGGTTCCTGCTTCCCTATCAACGAGCAGGAACCAGCCACTCACCCATCAAGGTCCCGCTCCCGCCACAAATCCGGAGATCTCTCAATTGGTGGTGTTCCCCGTTAATCTGGAAGGGACTCCTTTTTAGGGTCCCAGGCAGGCTAATGATAACCACCAATGGCAGCCTCCTGGGTTGGGGTTCCCATATGCAGGGCCAGATAGCTCAGGACCTTGGTCCAGGTCAGAGCAGGCCCTTCCCATAAATTGGCTAGAGCTCAGAGCCATTTTTCTAGCTCTCAAGCATTTCAGGCACTCAGTGACCAGCTCTCATGTTCTAGTCCTTATGGACAACATGGCCGCCATGGCTCATGTCAACCGGCGGGGGGGGGGGACGAGGTCCAGAGCCCTCATGGGAGAGGCTCTACGGTTGGGGTTATGGTCAGAGCAACACCTGCTGTCGATCTCGACGGACCACTTCTCCGGGATCAACTACTCCCAGGCCGACTGGCTCAGGCAGAATTGTCTATTCCCCCTTCTCTATTCAGGGACCTTTCCCTCAGATTCGGAACGCCGGAGGTGGATCTTCTCCACTCCTCAAATTGCACAGGTCACCAGATTCTTCACCAGGTTTCCTTGCCAGGGAGCAGAGGGAACCAGTGCCCTTTGATGCAGATGGCCCAAAAGTCTCCTCTATGCCTTTCCCCCGCTCCCATCATTCCGGCAGTAATTCGGAAGATGTTGGAGGAACGAGTGGAGCTCTTCCTCCTGGCACCCTATTGGCCAAGGACACCCTGGTTTGCGGACCTGGTCAACCTGTTGGTGGCTTCTCCTTGGAGGATCCCAGCCCATCTAATCTCCCTTCATCAGGGAATTCTGCTCCACCCGGAGCCCCAGTGGCTGACCATGTGGCACTTGAGCGGCAGCGGCTAGAGGTGGCTGATCTTCCTGAAAGGGTCATCACTATCCTGGCATCTCGCATACCTCCCACAAGGCGCATCTATGATGCCACCTGGAAGGCCCTTCCCGATGGTGCCTTAGGGAGGGTCTCTCCTGCTTTAGCCCAGTTGGCAGAGGTTCTTAGATTTCCTTCAGCATGATCTGGAGAAAGGTTTGGCCCCCATCACCCTTCAGTCAGGAGGTTTTCGAAAGGGGCTTCCAACCTGCACCCTCCGGTGGTTCACAGGTATCCTTCCTGGGATCTTCATGTGGTCCTTTATGCCCTTACAAAGCCCCCTTTTGAGCCCCTTAGAACACTGTCTCTCCGTTTCCTGACTCTGAAGGTAGTGTTCCCCCTTTCCATCACTTCAGCCAGGCGGGTATCCGAGCTCGCTGCTTTTTCCATCAGACAGGACCTTTGTTCCTTTCACAATGATAGGGTTGTCCTCAGTCTGGACCCCTCATTTATTCCAAGGGTTAACACCTGTTCCACAGGTCCCAGGACATTATGTTGTCTGGCTTCTGCCCCCTCCCGCACCATGACTTGGAGCAGCAGTGACACACGCTAGACATAGGAAGGGCTCTTAGAATATACATTCCTCCTTCATTTTGTTTCCTTTTCCCTTCTCACTTGGAACACAAGGCCTCTTCTCCTACTATTAGCAGGTGGGTCAGATCTTGCATTGAGCAGGCCTACAAAGCTGCGGCCCTTCCGGTTCCTCGAGGTCTGACGGTGCACTACCAGAAATGCGGCCACTTTGGCTGCCTGGGCGACCCAAGCACCCTTGGAGGAGATCTGTCGTGCAGCCACGTGGACATCTCCGTCTCCTTTCACCAGATACTACCGTCTGGATGTCTGCCTCGGCAACTGCAGCCTTCGGCAGACGGGTGCTTCAACGAGTGGTTCAACAGTCGGTGTGATGAGCCGGACGAGGACCCCCCCGTGGACATGCAAGCTTTGGTATGTCCCATCCTGGGCTCTTGATGCAGCACGGAGGAGAATGGGCGTTGGTGGGAGTTACCCTGAACACCCTTTCTATCTATGCTGCGAGAGAGCCAAGCCCCTCCCTTGATTCGTCCGAAGAGGGTAAGTCATATTTCTGTATTCACTTGTGCTTTCAGAGACACCTTTCAGTCTGTCAAGTATCTTCGCCAAAGCTGGGGTCTCTTCTGGGGGCTGGCTTTTATATCTTAGTACAGACTCAGCTAAATGACGTCATAGGAAGGAGTCAACCCATCCTGGACGCTCTCGCAGCATAGATAGAAAGGGCGTTCAGCATAACTTCCACCAACGCCCATTTAATTTCAGTATTTTATGCAATGCCTTTTTCAGATAATAGGCAATGATTTTAAGGGTTGTTATTTTAATTTACATTTATACATTTTCAGTTTAAGCTTTCCCATTAAATATAGATACATAATCTTTCTAATATTTAAAGAAAGCAGAAAGTCTGATTTTCTTTCTTTTACATTAGTACATTATACGGTACTTTAGCAATGAAATTTGATATCTAATCCTGTGAAAACTGAGCACATAAAATACAATTCACAGACAGCAGGCCATAACTTACTATTAAATTCTCTCCAGATCATAATGGTATCTATCCCAGAATACTATGAAGGCAAGAATGTCCTCCTCACTGGTGCTACCGGTTTCATGGGAAAAGTTCTTCTAGAAAAGCTACTACGATCCTGTCCAAGGATAAAAGCAATATATGTTTTGGTGAGATATAAAGCAGGAAAGACATCTCAAGAAAGAGTAGAAGAAATGATCAACTGCAAGGTATGTTTTCAGAAGACATGTTTAGTAAAAAAATGTTTTTGCAATTTTTGAAATGTGTTTTGACTAAAACAGAATATGTATGTTGAAGTAATGTTTTACTACATGACTATATAGAATCATTTTTATCATTAACATAAACCTACAGAAGTTTGAGTTTATTTGTAGGCTATTTTGCATTCTTGCCAAAAACGTTTGTCATTCTTGAATGTCAGATATTTCTTTTTAACCTACTGGTGTGAGACTATGAACACCTTCTAGTGGAGGAGAGTCAATATGCAGGAACATTGAATAAATAATTCACTGTTCCTGCACAAAAATCTTCATGAAGATCTGAAAACAAAAGGACTTGTCAAAGATGGAAAGACAGAAGCAGGTGATCAAAGAAGAATACATATAGGTGCCCTGAAAAATGTCAGGAAGTTAATACTTCAGAATGAGTTGAGCTTGAATGTGAAAAACAATAAAAGACTTATATTGTTTCTCCATTTATTTGAAGATATAAGTGGTATTTAGTAGTTATAGCAGGGGTGTCCAACCTTGGCAACTTTAAGACTTGTGGACTTCAACTCCCAGAATTCCTCAGCCAGCTTTGCTTAAAGTTGCCAAGGTTGCACACCCCTGAGTTATAGCAAAAGAATAGCATGACAAATGAAAAAATAGACCTCTTCTCCTATTTTGACTTACTCAGGATATGTGTTAAAGGCTAGAAGAGATTAGAAAACCACTTGTCTGAAATAGCATAGGATTTCTTGCTTTTTCAGGAGGTTGGACTAGAAGACCTCCAAGTCCCTTCCAATTCTGTTATTCTGTTAAATGTGAAATACTGATAGAAGCAGCGTGATTTGAACTTGAGGATATAATAATGTGGATTCCTACTGACTTTACACGAGATCAGACTTTCGGTAACATTGTATGATAGTGAAGAAATTTGTTGATGGTCTGGTTTCAATCTCTCTTCATTTGAGAAGTCTGATGAAGTAGCAAATAACAGGTAGAGAATAAGCTTGTCTATTCTCTAGACAAGAAAGATCCAGGGAATTCAGATCAATCTGACATAACCTGGGAAGATTCTGGAACAGATCATAAAAGTTTGTAAGCATCTTGAAAATAATAGAGCTGTTACAGAAGTCAGCATGATTTTGTCAAAAACAGGTATTACCAAATTAATCTTAGCTCATTAGTAAAATATATAAATGTAATATAATGTACTTTACTGTAGTAAAGGATTTAACAAAGTAAGGTACAATATTCTGTTTAACAGTATAGTTAAATTTGGGCCAATTAATATGCCTAATGCATTAGGTGACTTGAAATAATATTAAAATAATGCTTATCAGTGAAAATGAATTCAGTATCACAGGAGTCTGGAGCTAGTAATTTTCAAACTTGTTCTTAATTATTTGAATCTATCCCCAATTAAAGGATTACAGGGTCATAAAATGGGAGTTATGAATGATTTGGATGAAAAGATGGAGAAACATTTTGTAAAATTTGACTGGTACAAAATTTCATTTTTCTATATTCAACAAAATTTGAAGTGATCTTCATAGGATATTAGAGAATTGAACTGAAAATTCAATTTCTAGTCACCTCTAGATGAGATGGTGATACACAAGTCAAATAATTATATACAATTGATTTGATTTAATTAATTTAGATACCATCCAATTTCAAACTACTGTGAGTGGCTTACAGTATAACAGATAAAATAAAATACAATGCAGTTTAAGAACAAAC